CTGGATTATAATATTATTATTTGTAAATCATTGTGTCATCAATTAATAATATATCGTAGGAAAGAGTAGTAAACTACTCGTGCTTAATTTGTTTTCCAAAATTCTAAATAGTACCTAGGTACCTATTGACCATCTTCCGTGGTACATTATATTAGACCATAGTAACATTTCAAATGATTTCGTAATAATTCATTAGAGTCATGAGTGATATTATGTATACCTATTATCCAATTCATTATTTACATATTTTTAAATTATCGACATGTAAGTTCAAAGATCATTTTTCAAAGAAACGATAAACTATACAATATACACTTTCAAGTTTAAATACAGTTCTTAATAGGTACTAAAATATGCGTTATCTACAAATATTACAACAATCCAATTTATTTTATAAATATAAATTATAATAGTTAATATTTTTTAATCTTGGTTAGCGACCTTTTTTAAAGTAAAATGATTATTAAAAATAAGTAATCACCCAGGTTAGGTGTGAAGAATTAAGTATCCACACAACCTAAATATATAAAAGTTCGTATTACACATATTATTTATAAATTATAAATGATTCTGAGATCACTAAAATACCCACTCACATGTCAACATAAATTGGTTGCTTCACAAAAATAGGTAGCTAATATTTAGTATTTATGCTACCTCACTAGTTAAAAAATGTGTCTTACCTTAAACTTACTACTTAGGAGTTAGGGTACCCACATAATAATATAATAAATTTAATTTTAAATTAAATTCAGCACTAACGATACCCATTATAAATATTTCAGTATTTGGTAAACTATACTATAATTTAAACCTATATACAATATTTTAGTTTTAGTTGCAAAAAAAATAGACTTAATATGAAAGTCAATGTCACTAAACGTAGGTATCAATATTATATGTGCAATTATAAAACAATTTTTTTCATCATTCTAAACAAAAATTTTAAGTTAAAAAAAAAAATTGTACTTGTACTTAGATAACTTTATTTATCTATATAGATAGGTAGGTAAATATAAATATTTTTAATAATAGAAACTTTAATTATATAGTAGAAACCTACTTACATAAAATAAAATACGTACAGTTTTTAAATAGACTAAAATGTTTTTAAACAGATTTGGTGTTGGGTGATGTAGCAGCTTAAAAAAATCTTTAAGATAACTTTGGCACAAAAATTAAAATGTTGCATAGTTTTGGCAGGAACCAATGAATGTATTTTTTTAACCAAGCAAAAACAAATACAATTTAAGACACAATCTCAACTCATAAGTAATTTATCTGTATTCTTAAATTCTGGTACATATATTAAATAATATATTTTTTTAACAATTTTGATATTTTTACTAATTATTTATTTAATTATAATTAATAATTAGTAATTATAATGTGATTTTTTCATTATAAAATTTTCATTTACCACTTATCATGATCTTGTTAAATAACATAACAATAAAATTTCAAATGTTTATAAATAGCACAAAAAGAAGTAAAACATTTTTAAAATTATTACATGTCTAGAGTATTTATACTAATATAAATATTTAGTGGGTAATTCAACTTAATACAGTTATAAATTTTTGAATTACCTATAATAGATTAAATAAAGAAAACTGAATAAGCAATTATTACTTTTGACCAAAAATTTTTGAAAAAATGTCTATACTATAGTACAATTATAATTAATTAAACCTCGCATTGAAAGACCAATTAATTCCGCTCCCAAGAAAAGGTTAGTTACTTATAACCCGTCACAGCATTAAAATATGTAAATCAATAATCTCTTTTTTTTATAATTATGTTTACTTTAGAAATAAGATCGACTTTTCTAAATTAGCATTTTTGATTCTGAGTAGAGCGATGAATTTTATATTAATTTTACAATGAATGAAAACCCAGTTGAAAGACTCAAAATACAAAGGTGTCATGACCTGCTAACCTAACTAATTTTGTTATGTCGTATATCTCTACTGGAAATTCTCAACAGTCTGTCTAATCAATCATTTTTTCTTCTTTTTTTAAAATTTATTTCCATTAATTTTTCTTATTGTTCTACTTTGTAACAAATTAAATAAAATATTTTTAAAAAACGAAAAAAAAAATTATACAATAATGTTTGTTTTTTTCAAACATTTTTTTATCAAAAGTTAGAATTAAAAAATATACTCATATATAACTCCAAATAATTTAATATTTAGTATATGTTTTTTTTTTTTTGTGTAGGTATCTATTATTTTACTGAATAATATTTAGAATACCTTTTAAGTTTAGTTTTCATATCTTCAGTAATTGCAGAATTATACGTTGCTAAACATTACAGGTCTAATAGAAATAATTGAATACATACAAGTAAAATTTTAACTTTTGATAAAAAATGTTTACTTTTTCAATTTAATTATAATGATTTGCATTATTCCTGGTTTAATTACTGTGTTGGTTGACAGAATATAATTAAATAGTTTTGAAATAAAAATAAAATTATGTTAAAACGTTGAAAAGTTTTGGAGAAATATAAAAAAATGCGTGGTAGGTTTGGTTTTGTTTAAAAAAAGGTAAATAATTGCCCATAACTTAAAAAATAAAAAAGTTAGACCCCTCTTTAAAGAGTTTTTCTTCATGATTTTAGATATACTTTCGTAAGACGTTAGCCGGTTATTTTCCTTCGGAACACATTGTATAATGTATATTTTAATTTACTTTTATAGTTTTATAAAAAATAGAGCTAATAATGATAAATAGCACTACAATTTACCTTCAAGTGTTATGTAATTAGATATATCTTTAATTTACTCAAACAAAATTAGATTTATCAATAACAAGAAATAAAGCTGCCTTTGATATTTAATCTTTCATTACAGACTCCTGAGGTACATTCTTTCTTATATCTACTCATATTATGACATTATGTTAAATTGTATGTATAACATTTTTTTTTATAATAACATTTATGAATTTATTGTATGTATAACTGTATTTAATTATAATTATACAGTTATTTTTGATTTTGTGTGAATAATAAATATTGCGTAAAAATACTGAAACAGGAAAAACTAATCATTAGTAAAGTTGAGAGCGTCAAAATGTTGTTACTCTTGCAATGCAAAATCTCAAATATGATCCTGTTCCCAGTGGCTGCGCGAAATTGTGGAGGCTTTGAAACATGTTGTATATTTTAAATTTTTTTACCACCACCCCTAAAAAGTAGCAGTGATCAAAGGACTTTCAGACATGAAGCAATCGCTTCAAATAATCTTATATTCTACCGCCACTGCCCGTTCCCATCAGTCAAGTTCATTCCTTGGATAAAAAAATTGTCGTAGCCCGCATAGATATTAGATTCTATTAGTGTTGAAACTTGAAACCAGACAATTTCTCTGGGGGAAATCACTTTTTTTTTTATTGGTGATTGGTAATATATTTTAATATTATGAATTATATATTTAATTAGTTATTACAATTTACAATTTAGACATTAGTTGCGGTAATCGTAACGAGTATTGTGTATTTAATACCTAAATATGTACACTTTGTTGAAAGTTGTATTTGTCAGGGAGTGCGAAAGAAATTTTTTTTTTTTTTGAGGGGGGGGGGAATATACCTGTATTTAACATTGAGTACTATCAAGTTTTAATTGATAAAATTGATGGAATCATCGTCGGTTCCGGACTCCGTACCACAAGTTTTCGTTCTTTTTTGTTATCATTTATAAATGTAATTGAATTTTATTATGCGTCATATATATATCACATAACCTCTCACATTTAATCTTAGATTGTTCATCATTACATGCCAAACATATAGTTTTACTCGAGCGTATGTAAACTCCACCAGAAAAAAAAAACAGGTAAAATTGAGTTCATGTAAATTCCGCCAGTGAAAAAAATCAAGTAGTAGTTTAAAATTAATTTAATATACTATTAAAAAAAATTATAATATAATATATCATATAATATCATTCACATTAAATATTTAAATCATACCTAATTTATAATCAATATACCTAATAATGCAAAAATATAGTTATATCATATTGTTTTGTATGTAAACTAAAATGATGTGATATAATTTGTAAATATTCGAAGTCTTGTATCACTCCATTAGTATATAATATCATCGCAATAGATGTCAACGTATTTAATATAAGAAGGTGTACGAGGCAATGTGAGCACTGAGCAGCTAAACAAAAAAAAAAAAAAATTGTGGAGTTTACATATACCCATTACAGGTAAGAAAAAAAAAACTGGCGGAGTTAACAATCGCCCTTTCACTCAACTACTTTCTATTTCTTAATATACCTCCAACCTCCCCTCTATGCTCAGAATTAAATCTGAAATGGTAATTAATAAAATAATTAATTTAGTGTTAAAAGCTGGTTTTGTTATTTAATATTGTTATTAAAGGTAATTATTCGTGCCTATATATTATTATATATTACTATTATAATTTTATACTTCCAAGTATTTTTTTCTTTCTTCTTGGCCATAGTATTATCTAAAATAATTGTCGAGTTTATCATAGTCATTGAGACACTGACTAAAAGTTAATAAAAAAAAAAGAAAAAAGCACTCTATGTTCTGCTTACGCACCTATAGTCAGCATGGAATTAGTTGAATGAAAAAATAATTTGCAGGATATCAAAAAATTTTACTTCATATTATATAATATTTAATTATATTTATTGACTTGTGAGTTAAGAATAATTAGATCAGCAAAATTATGGTGAATCGTTTACGGTACCGTTACCAAATTTTTAGTAAACAACTTGCTCACGGTACCTCCGCGGCTCCACAAAAACACGCTTATTAGTTATTAGCTATTTAGTATTTACTCAATAATAAAAAGCTTTTATCATGGATAAGAAAGCTAAATAATATTACTGATAAATGATAATACGGGTAAACGGATAAGAATATTATGTAAGTTTAATATAAACATTAACCATAGCTGTAACAAAATAAATAAAATAGTATTATCATTATTCATTATCATCTTAAATAACTTTTGTCGTAAATCAAACTTTGGTCTATGCATTAAAATTAAAAATATAAAGTTCAATGTTTTAATTTGAAATATTTGAATAATATATCTCTAGGTATAAAATATGAGTAGTAATTTTGATTTTTGTAAGTGATTGTTTTCTGACTAATTGAATGTTCAAATTATAAAACGTATATAATGAATACAGAAGAAAGACGTGAAGCAAGACGCAAGAAAATTTTAGAGAATTCAGAAGTTAGACTTAAAAAAATAACTTCAATAAGTTCTAATCAAAACATAAATAATGAACAATCAGAATATATAAAAGACAAACCTGGTAATAAATAATTGTTTAGCTGTTTAAAATTGATATTAGTTTATATTTAGGTAATTAATAAATTAAAATTTAAAATTTTTTTTATAATTTTTCTATTACTTCCGGAAAATTTCTAGTTTTTTAAAATATCTTTTAGCTATATTATGTTAAAATATAAAAGATTAACTTGTTTATTATCAGGAATATTGTTATACATAACAGGACACTTGTATTTTATCCTTTTTAAGTAGAAACCAAAAGATTAATGACTTCTCTATAATTTATATACCTTAAAAAATAAAATAAATAATAATAAACAATGTTTTTGATTTCAGAAAATTATACACGGAATTCTGAATTGCCTGATTCTCCTGTTCAGAAATGTTTTAAAGAAAATGTGATATCGACAGTTCTCGAAAATCAACAAGTGTTTAATCATGAACCAAATCATTTCAATCCAAAATTACATTCCAAAAATATATATGAAATTAAATTTTCATCTATTACTATTTTACATATTGTATTATCTCAAATTGTTTTAGTATTATTCTATTATGACTTAGGATTTTTATTTGGCAATGTAAGTAATACATAATTGAATATTGAAATAGATTTTTTTATTTTGTTGTAAAAATTAGTATTATAATTTAATGTTTGAGTAAATATTGTGATAGCTTTTAAATTATAGTAATAGTTGAAACGATTAGATAGTCGCATTCTTGCATTAATATGATTATAACTAAACCTAGTATCTGAATACATAATTCAATTGTTAAACTTGATATTGTATATTTATATCACATCATTAATATTTTTTATTTTTTATTTTTTTCTAGTCAATAGTAGTGCCATTTCTGCTTAGTACAATACCTGAATTGTATAAATCAAAGGAACAACATGATAATATACATATGATTGTATTATTAATGATGGGATTTTCTCAGAGTTTGGCAAGAAATATATCTAGATTTTTCAAATTGGCAAGCACAACAGGAAAACGATTTTGTATATATATGTTTTGCTTTATATGTTCATATGCAATATGCACTAACCTATATATTGATGTTAAACTTCATAATTCTATTCAGTAACAAATGTATTTACTAGCAAAATGTATATTTTTATTTTACAATGGTATTAATAAATTTAATGTTGATTTTAATATTTTACGCCATTGGAATATGTTTTTGGGAGTTTTTAATTTAAAAGTTCATTCTAAAAAATTTTTTAGTATAATTATAATTTTTCAATGTAAATATTGTTGCTAAGTTAATAAATAAAGTCGATTGCATAAAATTCCATTTAAAAAAATTATCTAAGTTATTTATAAAATTTCATTTTTATATAAACTTAAATAGGGTGCAGATTTATATCTATATATATATTTGTGATGAGTGATGGTAATCGAATGATTCTTCTATAGCAGCGGTTTTCAACCTAGGGTACACGACATCCTCTCAAAGGGTATGTGAAAAAAAAATGGCTAATGGTGGAAAATGTTGAATTTGTTTATTTAAAACAATTTGTTTTGAAAATATTCATTTTATGTTATTAAAAATGAAAATATTATGTGCTACAAATTAAAACTTAACCATCAAATTATCTAATAGATATGAAGTATAGAATGTAACATAGAATTTTTTGTTATTTTTTATTTAAATATTTTAAAAGTAGCTATGTGAAAAAGTTTAAAAATTATAATGAGGGGTATAATCCAGCAAAATATTAAACTTAGGGTTACGGAACGAAAAAAGCTTGAGAACCGCTGTTCTATAGAAATGTTTCAGGGTCATCTGAATGCTTTAAGCTATAGTTGATACTTTATAGTTTTTCAATATTTAAGAGCTTACTTACATATTTTAACATAATTTACTTTAATTAAATAACATATTTTTGTTAAATATTCCCCTACATTGAAAAAATTATTGTTGTTACTGTTAATTCTGGTCAAAAATATACTGTTCTAATCAGATTAAAGACAATTGAATCTATTGCAAACATTCACAATGGCAGCGATCATAGTCTTGCCATGATTTTAGACCTGCCGAATTAAAAGCTTTAACATTTGCACTTATAACTGCTGTAGATGTGGAAAGGTTCTTTAGTCACTAAAAGAACATATTAAGCCCAATCAATGTTACATTAGAAAACTTAAAAAAGTAAATGGGTGCTCATTGTTTTGCTGACGACGAGGATCCTAATATTGAATAAATAAAAATATACTAATAAAGTAGTATATAATTATAATTACAACAATAATTTTTTTTATATATCTTATATTTTTAATTATATATTGGATAAAAATGAATACTTATATTAGTAGATATTTTTTAGCTTTAAATACATATAAATCCATACCCTACTTACATAACTCTTAGTTTTCTTTATTAAACTGTAGTTGCTATCAAAAGGTAGTTTTCATGAATCTAAATTAAACCTTTATAGAAGTGTTCAATAAAACTTATTTCTCAATTTTTTCCTTGAATTGATGAGTGAGGTGTAAATGACGTAGTGGCAAGTATGTTTTAGAGGAACTAAGCAACTTGCATTTAATTTTAAAAAATATTGATAGATATTATATTAAATAAGGTAACAAATTTCCAACTATTAGTACGTTCAGTAATCTATTTTAACTTCAAGAGTATATTAATAACAATACTCATGCTAGTCAAAAAATTTGACTGTAGCATTTTCTCCATCAACTATATTGACCAGAGTACACATCAAGTAATTGCTTTTTCTTAATTGTTGATAAATTTATTTAAAATGATAATCAAATCACAAATTCTATAATGGAAAGATCAAAAAAAAAAAAAAAAAAAAATGTGGCCAAATAACAAATCTATATGGAAAACAAATAATTATATAAATAAAACTAGTAAACATATGTATAATGGATTACGTTAGGTTAGAGATAGGGTTTTTAAATTAATTTGTATGCTTTCAAAAAATAAAGGATATCCTTAACATAATATACTAGTTTTCAATATGTTTTTAGGTATAATTTAATTATAAATCAATATTTTGTGGAAAATATTCAATTATAATTTATAACATTAAAAATAATTTGTTTATGAAATTATAATTTATGTAAATAATATAATGTAGAAACAATGTTATTTATAAGTATAATAATGATTTATTAATTTTTATCTTTGTTTTATTAAGTTAAATTAATTGTATGAGTTTCACAATGAAATAACTTAATATACTTTTAAAAATAGTTAAATAATAACTTATATCTTAAAATAAAGTACAACTTTAATAATAGATATAATATTCAAGCAAAAGTTAGTTAAATGATAGCAGCTTTCTAGATTCAATACTTTCTTTATCTTTATCTTTTAATTCAAAAAGTTTGTGTATACCTTTACGTAAAATCACGAAATTATAATCTATAATTCCTAAAAATTAAAATTAAATTAAAAAAACCAAATTTTTTTATATTTTATAAGATATAATGTTTGATAGTTTGTAACTCACTTTGTTTTTCAAAGTTATCTTCTCTTAGTATACACACAAGTGCCAAAAAACTGCATACCTCTCTTAAATATAAAATTGTACCATTATTTAATTTAATTAGACTTGAACTTTGATGATCGAAAGCTGGATCATTCGTCAATCCTGGGTTTTCGCCCGAACTATAAACATTTTTAACATAAAAAAAAACATCTTTTAGTAATAACTAATAACCCATAAATAATTTACCCATAAATATTTGATAAGTCTATGACAACATCGATCATGTCACAACAGAGTTCATAACTTTGAATATCAACCGGTGATGAATCAGTTGCAACATATATTTTAGTTTTTACATCATATAAAAAGGCTTTTTCAATTCCAGATGTCTGAATAATGATGTTTAAAAAATTTTCAAGAGTTGCATAGTGTGGGATCATTTTTTGTACAACTCTACTAAATGCTTCAAATATGCTATGATCATATATTGATGTCAAATGGAAACTAATATATATTTTTTGATCATCACCTGGACAAAATAAATCAGTGTATTTTAGTATAATAAATTTATAAAACATTACATTAAAAAGAAAACGTTTTAAAAAATATTGCTGTTAACTTTTATAATAAAATTATAGCTCATATTCTAAAATTTACCTGAATCTACAAGGTCATCATTAGCTCTTTGGTGAATTTCTCGTTGAGTTTCCATTTTAGTATCTTCAGTGAGTCCATCCACTTTATGAATGAAAACTTCAAACTTTATATTCTTATTTATTTTGTAAGCTTTTGTTACAACTGTATGTAAACGATTAAGTGCACTAGCTATAGCATCCTTAAAAAGAATAAATATATAAAAAATATTGATTTGCGTTTAATTAGTCTCTTAAAATATACATAATTATATATTTACTTGAGCATCAATCACAAATACAAGTGATTGGCATCCTTGAAGTATGCTTTGTACATCATATTCATTATCAGTGAAGTCAAAGTGACCAGGAAAGTCACAGATTTGGAAATTCACAAATGCTGAATTATTAACAACATCTTTCAGCAATGAATTATTACTTCCAATAAATAAAGTCTCATTAGGTGACATTTTTTGAAATACTACTTTCTGTATAGAAGTTTTCCCACTCCTTTAAAATTAGTTAATATTAATATAAGTATGTACAATAAATCGAACAACAATTTACCCTCTTAAGCCCATAAGTACAAGTCGTGGTAAATCATCTCTATCCGATTCTGTATCTTCATCTGATATAAATTCATTAAATTCGTAGTGTTTAGGTAATGATCCAATATCAAAAGTAGTGCTAAATGATTCTTCTTCAACTCTATTAAACGACTAGATAAATAATTTAACAGGAAACAAAATTAATAAATAATATTAATAAAAATATAATTTATTTATTTTATATAAGTTTGGCTATGGAATAATGTAACACTAGTTAGACATTAATTTACTATTCCTTAGTTATAAAATTAAAGAAAATATTTAATAATTAATTTTAGGTACTTATTGTATTTTAATAATATTAAAGGTAAAAATAATTATTTATTATTTATTAATTTATTTAAATATAGCAGTGGTCAACACTAGAATTTGGGAAGGGATTAAATTAATTTTGAAAATTACTTGTGGGCTGTGTCTATTTTTTCAATAAAGATATTTTATAATTACATTTATTAATCATTTTATTTCATGTTATTTTGATATCAATAGATGGTACTCACTATTCACTGTTTCTTGTAAAATACATTGCATAATATGATAAATCCATAAAAAAGAAGTATGAAATAATAAATAGTATAGAATGTACAGTTTAATTTTAGAGCATGATGTTCAAAATGTATAAATTAGCTAAGTACATAGTGTATACCACTAATCTATCAGTATAAAAATTTGCAGCCTCTTGAGTATTAATTTGTTAAATATAAGATATAACTTAAGCTTTTTTTATTTATAGGACTTAATAATGCCACTGAATTTGTATATACATATAGTAAATTTTAATTAAACATGAAGTTCATAATTTTATGAATCAATATAGAATTTAAAAGTGCAAAATTTATATTTTAAAAACTAAAAGTAGTTATTTAAGTATAGTTTGAATATATTTTAAGCTACCTTTACTGGTTTAATAAATAAACCTTTAATTTAATTATATACATACCATAATAAATAAATACTGACTGTAATAACTTTAAAATACTAATAAATTATTAAAAATATTTCATATTATTGAACTTTTATTTTTAATTTTTGACTTAAATTATAAAAGTTCTAAATATAATAAAAAAATATAAGTGTTATTTTTCTAAAACAAGATTTAAACGTTTAAAGTTACAACACTTTTATATTATAATTTACAATGATTATTTGAGTACATTAGGATTTCGGAAAATTGGATGTACAATATCACCAGTTATCAGGTTCATTGTCCATTTATCCAGATAAATATTAAATTGGTATGTTCATAACAATCATAACTTGTGTTATCACAAAATTGTTGGTTACTTGATCAGCACAGAGTTATTCAGATATCATTATGTATGTTAAGTAGTTGAATTTTTTTTGGAAAGAATAATGAGTACTCTACACCTAATACGCCTATAGTATTTAAAATATTTAGATTTGGTTGGATAAAATCATTGAATAAATGAAATATGAATAATATTATGATAATATTATCACAGAATTATTCTGTTATATTATCATGCATAAAACTCGAGATGAAAAATCTGTCTTAAACATTGATAATAACTTACTTATATCTTTAGAATTTAGAATTAAGATTATAAATCTATAGTTTATACTAAAGCAGTAAAGCAGTATAGCTGGTTTATACTCTCATTATTCTACACCTGTGGTAACATAATTTTATAAATTCAATATATTTTAAAAAGATTTAAGATGTCTTAAATGTGACAAAAGACATCTTTATTGCTAATATGTCTATAGTATAGAATCAAGATTCACCAAACAACCAACAATTGCTGTTGTATAGTATTTATCTTATATTTCTCAAGACTGTATTTATTCAACTGTTGTTAATTTAGTGATCAAAGAAGATTTAATTTAAAGATATTTTTTACTTTTACATTACTGCTAATTAATTTATTTATTCAAGTTCATTTTTTAAAGTATAAATTTTATAAAATCATTAATTTTTACTGTTCTGCAATCTGTAATTATTATAAATATTTATAACAATATTAGAAATTACAATGAGTAAAGAAAAGTTTTCAGGTACAAATTATTGTATTTATAATGTTATAAATAATATTATTAGTAGAAGTATGCTTTTTGCAAGTTCTTTTATTAATTAAAAAAAATTCATAGCTTAGGCATTCGTATATATTAAATATATAATTGTTAAATTTAAAAACTATATGTTATGTGTTTTAGATAGTGTATCTATACTTTTAGAACTTCTAGAGGTATCAATTCATTGCATACTGTATGCAAGAAAAATATACCCCGAAGGAATTTTTGAACTAAAGAAGAAATACAATGTACCTGTACATGTAAGATTTTTGATTTAGTTTATAAAAAGTATTTCAATATTTTATCATGGTATAATTAAATGTTTTTAAATAAAAATTATTACCTATTTAGTTTGATTAAAAATTAAAGAATAAATTTTCAAGGTTTCCATTTATCCAAAGTTAAATTTATATATAAATGGTGTACTCAATGCTGTCAAAAGTCTATTGAAATTAAAAAAAATACGTAAATTGGATGTATGTTTTTATAACAAGACTGGAGTTATAGTTGAACGTTTTGTATTTAATATTCATAATGTTGAACTTGAATTGAATTTATCAGATTTTTCGTAAGTAATTAACATTATATTATAATATATTAATATAGTTAAATTTATATATTTTTATTTTATCTTTTTTGAAAATAAGGAATGTAAGAGATCCATATTTAGTCAAGTTAGAACAAATGTTGAGAGCTTTTTGTTTAAAACTAACAGTTTGTGATTCTCTTTTGAAACCTTTACCTTCAAGTTGTACATTTCAGATTCACATTCATACAACTGAAACTAACTCCATTGAAATTCAAAAGGATACAGAAGTATGTACTTATTAATTGAATTGGTTTATATATTTAAACATTACACAGAGGGAAAAAAAGCTTTTTTTTATGAACTATTTAAAAAAAGTAATTGTGCTTCTTAAATTAAATATTTTTTTATTAATTTAAAATATACAGATTAAATCTAAGAAATCAAAATATATTTATAAAATACTGTTACTTATTTGAAAATTAAATGAATGAATCTAAGTTCTTATTTTCAAAAAAAAAAAAATCATATTTTAAGGGAAATTTTAGTTAGTTGTAATCCAATAAATAAATATACTATTTATATATACCGTAATGATTTTACTTACCTTAAGATGATTTCATAAAAGATAACTACAGTTGTTAACTTAATATTTAAAAACAAATAATTTTACTTAATACAAAATTTTTGATAATTCAAATAATCCTCAGATGTATTTATTTTAATCAATTTTTTATCAGTTAAAAACTTTCAGAAGCAGTCATCAACTGCAAATTTGTTTAGCCAAAGTTCTTATATTAAACTATTAGTAAATATAGCCTTTATATAACAAGAAATCATTATATTAATAGTTATGATTTCTATTAATGTCAATGTGTGTATGGGTTCAAATTGGCACAACACTATTGATAAAACATTTTACTCTTTGCTAATTTCTTTGGAAATATTATAGAAATTATAAAATAAAAATATCATACTTCTAAACAGTGTGACCTTAATCCCTTAAGTTTACCAATACGTTAATGTGGTATTATTTTATGAGAAATTTTCTGTAAATTTCATTTTATTATCAATAAAAATATCTTTAAAAACAATCTACTTTATATATATTTTAATTTTTAGGAATTTCCATTAATACCCAGTGAAAAAAGGGATATAATTTTAACATCACCTGCAGTAGTACCATTGCGTAGTATTGACTGTGAACATTTAAATTTAGAAATCTATGCTGAAGAAGGAAATAAAGATGAAGACCCAGATTTATTTACACCAAGTCCATTAATTTAAATACATTCAACATCAATGTTCAATATGTTTTTTTAACAATATGTTGTTTTTTTATGAACCTTTACTGACAAATACTATCAGAACTATAAAACGATTATAGAGACCATACTAGTCTATGTTAAATTTTACAATTAATTTAGTAATATATTTTATGTACTTTATGTATATTGGTTAACTGTAAACAAATGAAGATCACTGACATCCCTTCCATTCCACAACTTGATTAATTACAATATTTTTAGCAAAGTTATCAACTATAGAACACAATAGTCAATATTATTAGAATTTCATAAAATATAATAAACGTCTGAAATGCACTCATACAGATAAGACAACATGATATCCTCTTAAAACAATAATTTCAATTTTACTTTTTCAATAATCAAATTATTTAGATCAAATATAATACAAGTAAAAGCACCTCTAAATTTCTGTTTGTATAAATGATATAGAATAGTAATTTTATTACTATTGTAGTTTTTTGTCTATTTAAATAATGACAAAATAAAATTGTTCACCTTGAATTAGAATATTTTTCTTCTGTTCTTAAGATATTTTATTTTATTTCAGTTTAACAATTAATAAAACATATTAATTAAATCAGAGGATATATACATATATATTAAGGTCATAAAAATAAATAAGTCACAAAATATTTTATTAATTATAATTTATAATTATATTATATCCAAATAACAATTTTTTTCAAATAGAGAGCGACTTTTTTTCACAAAATCAATTTTATAATAATTCTAACATAGCAAAAAAATTATTATGATGCTAATTTATTTATTTATACATAAAGAAAAACATAATAATTTTTATAAGCCAAATCAAAATGGTTGGATTTTTTAAATATAACAACATAAAAATCCTAATGATATTTTCAACCTAACAATAAATAATACAATACATGGGTTTAAAAAATGTATACAACATAATGGTTTTCACTTTTATCTAACAAAGGCACCAATTTAATTCATTACCCAGTGTATTAAAGTAAATTATAACATCAATTTGTAGTCATTTAACAATTATATTGAATTTATTAAATGTTTTTAAATTTTTTAAATGCAATTGCAATTCAAAGAAAATTACTTATAACATCCAGTGTAATACATGTTAATGTATACTAATATTTCATAAATTAAATTTAAGTTTACAATAAAATATTATTTAATTAAAAACTTTCAAATGAGTACTTTGATATACTAATCAATTTTTATTAGAATATTTAACGCAACCAATTTGAGTTTTAAAACACAACTGTACATTATATCAGTAGAAAAAAAAATCAATCAATGCAGGCAAGAAATTGGAATTTTGTAGATAATATGTGTAAAACCACCACGTTTAATGATTTTAAAAATCCAAGTATTTGTATATATTTTAAATTTTTATTCATATGTATAAACAATACATTTACATACGTCTTTACAGTCTCAACAATATATATTTTACATTTTTATGGACAAAATATAATAATCTATATTAGAACATTCTTTGTTATGTACAGCAATAATAAGATATATGTATATATTTATATTATAAAAAATTAAATTAAAAATAATAATAATAATAATAAAAAACAACATAATTCAACTATCTTAACAAACAAATAAAACATTATAATTTATACAAATTTTGTGGCATAGTTTATGTGTAGCACATTTCTATACAGAAATGAAATAATTAAGAATTGCTTTTTATTTACCAGATAATAGTTTAGAGAAAAGACGTGAACATGATTTGGCCCCAGACTTAAATATTTAAGTTACAGTTATGTATTATTAAATAAAGGAAAAATAATACTCAAGATCTTTAAATAATCCTTTTAATAACATAAAATATACACTAATTATATTTTTTTTTTTTTTACGAAAGACAGAATTTTGAAGAATAATAATTATACAAGATTTTCATTCATATCATTTCAATTATTTAAAATTTTAAAGAAAATATTGGAAATTGGTAGTAATAATAATACAGTAATTTGTAATCATTAAATGAATTCTATTTGGAGTTTAATGTTTTTTGTGGAATAATAATAATAAAAAAAAACACTGTTTATCCGTCCATATATTTAGTTAATTTTAACAAATGAAATAAAAATAATTAGACATATGTAAATTTATGATTGCAATATTGGGAAATAATTTTTACATTGAATATAGTTTTTAAATCTTAATTGTATATAAAAAAATTTAAAACTTTAATAACTAATAAATTTGATTTATCAAAATTAATAATTTTGTTTTTTAAATGAAACTTACTAAATTTTTAACATTATGTTCATTATGTTACATAATATTTAATATTAAATTTTAGGTGTAATTGTGTAATCATAATGTATTTGTAAATTAAAATGTGCACCTATGGCTAAACAATATATAAATGTTAAAATATTAGTTGAGGTTAGTAAGCAGCATATAATCTATATAATTATTTTGGAGAGGAAAGAGAAAATGTTTTAAATTATATAACTGCAAAATGTATGAAATCTGTTTATTTAATGATATTTACAGTTATGAAATTACGATAATATATTTTTTATTTATTTAAATAAATTATTTGATAAAAAATAATTAATAACAGAAATGAATAAACGTGAGAAATTACTCTACAAAAACATTAATTCTCAAATAGGATATATTATATGTTTATGTTGTATAATTACAAATTACATAACCTAATAATTTATATCTTTTAAATGTGCTTTAGGAAGCAATTTAAAAACAATATTTTTTTAAATTTATTTTTTTAAACATAAATACTAAAATTGAAGGTAAAGGTAACTAATCAGTTATAACAAATATTAAAAAATATTTACAAAAGGAATAAGATTAACTAGAACATTTTATTCAACTTATAAGATAATGGATAGTTATAGTTTCTGGGGTTTGTGTGCACATTTAAAAGTACTTGTGGTTACTTAAAAAAGCTCTTGCTCATAAAAACACATTTTTGTTTGATTACAAAAATATAGAATTAATAAGTAAAAAATAAAAATTATGTTTTAGAAGATTAATTATTAATTATACTCAACTTTATTTAAATAATAATAGTAAAAGCAAAAAAATGTCTTAAAATTTTTTAGGAATGGTAATGCCGTCTTAAACTTTTAATATATCATACATTGATATCACTGTTAAAAAAAAAAAACTAACAAGCATGTAGGTTACACACGAGTCAACTTGATACATACTTTCTAGTAAATTTGTTTAGTTTTAAATTATTGATTATTTCTATCTAAATATATATTCAACAAAATTAATAATTTATTTTTATAAAATGTTGAAATATATTCCTTATTTACTTAAACTATAATTTTATTAAAATAATTGTTTTTACAATCAGTGGATCATCTTCATAAATTTGTCAAAATAAAAATAAAATTAATCGTATCTAGAAATATAAGAAAAGTTTTTAATTTAATTAAGTTCAAAAGAAATATGTATGCATAACTCTTTATTTGGAAAAACTCGTCTAGTCAGTTTATTTAATTTTTGAAAACACAGTTAATCTTCATAAAAGAAATTCAATTGACGAAATCATTATTAAAAAGTCAATATTTGAATAGTACATAAGGTGTAATGAATTTATGTGAATGACACCAATTATTATATTTACGGTAAACCCTAATAGTAATAGGTAATATCTATTGATTTAACAATGAAGAAATAATACTGTTTGTAAATGGTCAAGATAACTCACATAATAACTTGAAAGAGCTTGATTTATAAAACTAAACATAGAGTATAAATCTACAATTTTTTTTTTCTTTGACAAAATAGGTTAGATAGCATCCAAAAGCCATACATTGTAATTGACTCATTTCTTTAGTAATATATATAAAAACAAGTAATTCAACTTTATAACTAATATACATCTAATTGTTTTGAAATAAAATTACAGTGGACAAATCAACAAAAAAGGATATCAATATACGATAATATTATATTTTGTTTAAATTTCTTTTTAGAGAAAAATAATATGAAAAATGTTATCTTTTAAATTTGTACTATTACTTATTATATCGGGCAGAATAATTAATAATAATAATATATATATATATAAAAAAAAAAATAGTAATAATAATAATAATATTAATGTAAATTTATAACTATCACATTGAACAACAATCTCTCAATTGTTTAAACATAACATGTAAAAAAGTAATAAAAAAAAAATAATAAATAAAAACAGTAAAAAAAGAAATGGAAGGTACCTTAATTTTAAATCTAGCCGCCTCCATCTTCAGAATCCTGAGATGAATCAGGTTTATTAAGCTGTGCTCGTAATTCAGTCAATGAGTGACCTTTGTATAACCGTTTGATACCTCTAGGTAATCCTCGGCAGGATGCTAAGTTCAAAGCGCTGAGGCGGTGACAATTATTTAATATAGCTTTAACTGGTTCAAGACTAACTGAAGAACCAGTAAGATCCATTTTTCTAAAAAAATAAATAGATTTCCACATATAAATGTATATTAGAGAAATTAAAAAAAAAAAGAAGTATTAATAGGTACCTAAGCATTGATTTTTCTCCTTGTTCTGAAATTGCTAAAACAGCTGCATCCAGTATCAAAGTATTGATTGACCAAGAAAGATCAATTTCTACAAGACTATGACTCCACTTTTTACATATCAGATCAAGACCAGAATCCGATACTCGAGTAACATAAGATCCTTAATAAAAATAAATAAAAGTATTTATAATAGAACTACAACTAAATAATCAAATGAATAAAATTTTACCTGATAAATATAGATGGGTCAAATCCCATGCAGGTATCCTTACTAGACTTGAATCTGTTACTTTAGAACATCCTCTAACATCAAGCACATACAATTTATGTGATGTTTTTAATATTCTTTCAAGAGCTTGATCATCAATAAATGGTTGTCCAGACACATTTAGATCATTAGAAATTGTGGCAACACTTAATTCTTCCAGAAGTGGAAAACCAGGAGACAAAGCTTGCTCATTTAATGGAACATTACTTAGACAAAGTTGGCTAGTAGACATTCGTAATA